AAATTATTAAATATATATTTAATTAAAATATATATATATTTAAATAAAATTATAGGTGGAGAATTGATACGCAATTTAATAGAAAGAGCGCATGCGTATTTTTACGAAATTGTTAAAACGCCTTCGTCGCTATAGCAACGCCTTCGCAACTCTGTTCGCCATCTGGCAGTTGAAGCGATAACTACAACCGAGTCGCAGACGATAATTGTAAACCGATGTCGGAAAAAGAAGTTAACGGTCGATTAATTTTTTATTTTTTTTCTTCTCGTTAACATGATTCGATACCCGTTATATCTATAAAATATTTATATAAATCGGTTAATCGAAAGAGAAGGTCGATACGCATTAAAGGAGCTCGTGACTCGATTCTCCAGATTTCAAAACCTGAAAATGTTTCTACGTTAAAAAAAAAAGAAATTCATGTCGAAAGGTAAGTTTATTTGTATTAAATCCTTCTATTTTACACTATTTAAGAAGAAATTTTCTTTAAATTATATAAAATCAGTGGTATATATTTTATAATCATTTAAGCCTATGATTTGTACATTTAAATTACACTCTTCATAAAATATCCGAGGAATGTTAATTTGATATAACAGTAAAATTCATAACAATATTAGGAAATGGTCTTTAAATTTCTAGATATTTATTGCGTATAAATATCTAGAAACTTGCTGTGTTTATGTACACAAATATGCAGAAATGTAATGAAATAGATCTTAGATGAAAATATTTATTAAAAGTTTATGGGATTTTGGAAGTATATGTTTAGTTTCTGGAAATGCCAAAGAAACGAAAACTCTGGTAAAATACACAAAAAATTTAATGAGTAGGTGTTTTCGAGCTGTCTTCGTCACTATGCTCATGTCTTGCTGTTATTTAAAAATTGATGTTCAATATAAACAACTTTACTAAACTGGTATGTTGCAATAACACCTTCAACTGCAGTAAACTATTGGGCTATAATTTGGCAATAATAATTATAAATTACTAATAAATTTGGCACCTAATGCCTCCCTCTAGGGCCAAATTTATTAGTACTGTAATTTATAATTATTATTGCCAAATTGATGTTTGAATTTTTATTTTTTTCAAATGCTGTTCTTAACCTGAGGACGATGGCTTAAAGCTAATTAAAAATATTTGTTTATTCGTTAAGTTCTTATATATTTTACTAGTTTTTCTTTGGTGATTCTAGATTAATATCTGGTATTTTGAGTTAGATTTAATGCATTGAATTTCTGTGTTTCTTACATAAGAGAATTAGTCAAGAGGTAACTTATAAGCAATTGTGAACTGAAAGTAAAATAAATTCTAATTGGTTATTTTTTATCTGTTTCGAATCGTGGATAATGATAGAAATACTGTATTGCAAAATTGTAATCTGATAAAAATTCTGTGTGAGACTCTCCAAATAAATAATTTCCCAATATTAAATAGATATATAAATGTTTTTATGACAAGTATAAGGTTTTTTTTGTAATACTTATGATGAACAAAAGTATGTTGTCAATCTTATTTTAATAATTTTTTTCATTGATAAACAAACAGTATAAATAAAATCATTTGAGTTTAATGAAACAGTATCCCTGTTTTATTTATAAAATATTTTGGTTTTATTATTACTTTTTTTAATGTTCAATAATGTTTTTTGTATACTTTTAAACATTTTGGTTTGAATAATTACAAAATGCAGAAGTCTCTCAATTAATGTGATGTGGATTTTCTATAAGATTTGTCAACTTTACATAATGACAAATGAAAATGAACTTCAGAATTAATTTTGAAAGTTAATATAATGAAAAAGAACATCTAACAAAATTATTTGGATAATAGCTTTTTCTTAATTATGCCTTTCAAATGAAAAATGAATGTAATTACAAATAAAGAAAAATTGGTAATTGCTCCACTGAAATCATTGATGTTTTGTTGAATTTATTTTGACAATAAGAAAATACTGTCTTATTAGTGTTGAAAAAGCTTTTTATAATTTGTAGTCTTTCCAGTTTTGTCATAGTGAGATAACAACAAAACAAAAAAGTAGGCTTTTAGGTCTAGGATCTGTCTAGTTAAAAGCAAGCAAAAAAAAAAAGAAGTGCATTATGAATAGTGTGTAACAAAATTTTTATTAAAAAAAGACAAAAGCTAAAAATTAAAATTTTTAATATTTAACACTTACAAATTAAAGTTTTTAAGTGGTAAATGATAAAAATAAAAAGCTATTTATTAAATTTGTTGTAAAATCTAAATATATACTACATTTTTTATTAAATATTTTAAATGAAAACTGACTCCAGAAGTAATGTGTGTAAAAATTTGACATTGAATTCATGTTAATTTGAAAACAATTTCAAATAAAATTTAAATGGCAGATATATTTATAATTAAATTTATTTACATTAATATCTATTTTTAATTTAAAATTAAGGAAAATATTTAACATAAACTAAATTATCAAGTACTTTTTACTAGTCGAATTGTATAAATTTTAATTTCTTTTTACTAGTTACTTTTTACTAGTTAAAAGTTGTTCATTAAAATCAAAATGTTTGTAATACAAGTGGTGGTATTGAATTTAATTATATCAATTATTTTTCTGAAATGAACTTTTAATCTGTTAGCTTGTATAAAATTTTGATTCTTTACAAAATTCATTACTAACCTAATGTAAGTTTATATTATCAAATTAAAGATTAGGAAAGAGAAAGCTATTTGATAATATATTTGAAGTATTGAATATTGTTCTTTAGGAAATCAGTAAGTTTTCTCCAAATTTGTTAGAAATTTAGTTGTTATATGTTATCAGAGTATTGATTAATTTCTCAGAAGTTGTTTAAATTTTTAGCTGATAGCTTTTGTTTATTTTTTGATGACAACTCTATGTATACACCAAAAACATCTACTGATTATGATAAACTTGTGTGCTTGTATTTGTGTATGTATAAACAAAACTACCACTACCACATACATATATACATTTTATCATATTCACTATTGTTTTTATAACCAATTATATTTTGTACATTTAAATTACACTCTTCATAAAATATCCNAAAAGTAATACTATAGCTATTATATATTGTTGAGTTTAATTCACTGAACTAAATAATGTGTTTTAATTGCCCTATCTATATTCCTGCATTCTCACTTCAAATTATAATTTTAAGAAAATTTGTAAATGTGACGTGGCCCACGAGAATCTTACCAGTCATATTAATGGTCCATTTAAATGAATTTGACACACCTGCCCCTAGGACATGCAATACATTTTAAGTACAAAAAATTTAATAATCACAGTCAGTGCTTTTTTGGGAAAAAAAGGTGGTGGAATGCACATCTCATTACTAAAAATATATTACATGCATCTTACACAAGATTCGGCACACAAGCAGGAGCAGGACTGTCTTAATAATTTTGTTGCCGATCTTATATGCTTGACGTGGACCAAACGTCAAATTTTCAAAAATTATCCTAAAACTTTTAAAATATATTGAAAAAACGTGGTGAAATGCCGTTCCATTGCGTTCTATGACAAAAAAAAAGCCCTCATTATAGTCAAATCCACTTAATAAAACACCCTCATCCAAAATAAGGTAATCCAGCTGGGTTGTCTATAGTATTAGAGTAACTCCACCCCTTCGTGTCTTCAGAGCTCTACTTAATTTACATTAATTTTATTGAATTGTCAGTAAATATAGTATTTTTTACCAGTCACATTACTTTCACTTCTCAGAAACAATAGGAGACCTAGCTGAAAAGATGTGATCATCATCATCAAACTTTCTGAATGTTCTCTAATAGGACATAATTATTTTCTATCAAATTTTAGTTCACTTCCATGATTGTAATATGCACTAACTATAAAAAAAAATGAAGACAAACATATATTGTACTATAGTATTTGTTGAAATATGCAATAACCTGTACTCAGCAGAGTTATATCAATCATACTACAGTACCTAATGTTTGTGGTGTAGGGAGTAACCTATCATAAGATTAAAGATAGACCATTATAAATCTTCAACAAGCAGACTGCTGCTTTAAAAAAGCTACTGCCATGGCACTCATTTAAACAGACTCTCTACTGTCCACTGTGTGTAAAATGTAGTGAAGAAAATCAGGAACGTGAAATCATGCTCCATTGTCCGATGCTCTGTTAAGTAGAGTCAACTGTATATAGATGACACCATAAACAATATTAGCTTATTTACAGCAAAGAATTATTGTAAATTACACAGAGTATTATAAAATAAATGATTTCATAATATTCTGTGAAATTTCCATTCAAACTAGAGGTTCATTTGGAAGCAGAACCTCTAGTATAATGATTTAATGAAAATAAACTACCAAATTTTTCATTTGCACTCAAATCTAATTAATCCATTTTCTCTTTTCAGGTCTGTTTCTTTCATAATGGCAACAGGCAGCATGAGTTTCATTCTTTTAAGTATTTGCTACATTTTCTGTGATGTTTTAAACTGGTGGAATGGATCGCCATTTTTCTTTCCCGGTAAGCTTCTTTTCCAGCTTTCCTTTTTTGTGCAATGTTCATTTTTGGCGCACGATTTTTCTCTCTTTCAGGAATGAATTCCATTTTATTATATGTTGGTCATTCCATGACCGGAAAGATGTTTCCCTGGGCCTGGGCAGTGGAAAACACTCACGGCTACCGTCTTATGATCAATCTGTGGGCCACGTCGCTATGGGTCCTTATTTCCATATGGTTATACCATAAAAAATTTTTCTTGGCCATATAGTTTTTCTTTCCATAGGATTCTTTTTGTAAGATATCCACTGTTTAACCTCTGTCACAAAAAACTAACTTTGTCTGCATCCAAAGTCTAAATACAGTAGTTTAATTGTCAGGTTTAACATGTGGGCACACTAACAGAATAACCAACAATACTCTAGCTTGCTATCAGTTGATCTATAAACTGTTCTCAACAGTTTGTACAGGCAAACCAGTTCTAAACAATAGATGACTATAAAATTAATGTACAATCATTCTGTACACACAACATTAATGAAATGTTCAATGCCATGATGTTGTAAATGCAATGTTTATCTGCTGCAAAAAATATTGTGCAATGGTGGTACTGTAAGGGTGCGACTATGCAAACACGAGCAAGCGAGAATATGTGGCGAGAAGAGGCAAGACGCGATAAATATCAAAACCTGTCAGATATGTGCGAGAATCAGAAATTCGCTCTCGCCAGCATTATTTCTTGCTTCTCGTTTGTGCATGGTTTTCCTTTGCGAAAACTAAATCGCTCACTCTAAATTCGCGTCTGCGTAGTTGCACCCTAAGTGGCTGTATTTTGAAGTTGAATTTATGTGCAAGCCTTATGGCATTGCACGCTGCAGGTATATAAACATATCTGACATTCCAATAGAAAAAATGCATATATTTTAAATACCATGCCCACATGATTTAAAAAATCACTTTGTCCACGACATTAATTACTCATTTAAAAATATTCCTACAGTTTTTATATGGATGGCATATTTTTGTATTGTTTAACTTTGTACTGTAACAAAAGCATTACAGCAAGTTTGATAAAATTATTTTTATTGAATTTTGATCATTAATATATCCAAATGTTACAACATGACTTATTTTTCTACAATAAAAATGAGTAGAGAGAGTTTCTCCATGTAAATATTTAAGTAAAATAAAATATATATAAGTTTATATTAATTAGTGGAATGTGTGTATTTAGTTTAATTATTATTTGTTAATTTTGAAAAGTTGGATAAAAGAGATGTACTTTTCTATATTTTTCACAAATTATGGTATAACTATAATTTTGGGAGGCCCCAAAAGTCCAATTGTTGCTCAAGTAATTGCAGTACATTCCTAAATCTCTCATCATGTGAAAAACATTCTCCAAGTGTTCTTTTTACAAGTTTGAAAGGGTAACCATATCAAATCTAGTACTAAGCAGTTACCATTATTTTGAGACCTTATATGTAACTTGTTAAAAGTTAATGCTTTAACACTTGGTAAAAACATCAGAACTAATTTTTCAACAAAATTTCTGCAAAATTATTGTATAGTCTTAAATTGAAAATAATAACATCGCAAAGCCCGAGTAGCATATAATAAATCACCAAATGATCGGGCTATAATATGGCTAATTAAATGATGGTATAAAGTAATTTAACACTAGAGGTAGACATTATCCAGAAGTTCTAAACTTATTTATTTAATTATAATTTTAATTTACTTAAGAGGTGGCACCTAACATCTACCTCTAGTGTCAAATTACTTTATACCAATCATTTAATTAGCCATATTATAGCCCAATATTTAGGTAATTGTTTGGTGATTTATTATAGTCTTAAATTGTTTATTAAAAAGTCTTCTGTCCTTACATCTCAGGACAATAATAGTCTTATGGTGGAGTTTATTTATTATTTGCGCCATCACCGGAAGTTTTTTAATGCTTTGTATAGCAAGGTGGACAAGTGGCCTCTAATAAGAGGTCAACTGCCATAAAACTGTTATTTTCTCAAGGTGTGAGAAAGGACAAGATTTTTTATTGTAATTGTTAAAATTTCTACAATTTTACTGTATAAAATTGTTTGTTAATTTTACAATTATTGTCCTGGCAATTTAAGACTATACTTTTCCCAGTTTCCTCTATTTTTTTGACTGAAGACTACACATACCATACAATATTAGTGCACGTAATAACATTCATTGATGTGAAATGTAGTTTTGCTCAAAAAATGCTTAGTATGTGGCTTAGTGGAAACTATATTTACAAATAGCATCATACCTGATTTAACCTTTCAATAGTGGGATACATTTATATTTGGTTTTATTGATAAAAAAAACCAAGTAGCTTTCCTTCGTTATGTAAATTTTGTTACATTTTTAAAATTTAAAAATATATATACCCAACTCTAACACAGTGTAGATTTTATACAATGTGTAGACAAAAGGCATTGCACTAGACTAGTCTGGTGTAATGCTTTTTGTCTACACTGTACATAATCAGCATAAGCAAATTGTATGTACATTTTGCATAAAATCTTATGTTTTTAATTAAGAATTTTTACTGGTCTCAACTGGAGCAAAGTTAAAGTAACAATGCTCTCAAATACTTTTATTGGGTTCCATTTGTCATATGCCTTAATTATCCCTTTGGTATAATTACAGCATATGATGAGTGGTTAAATTACAAAAAGCAAGAAATAGCAGGCCATAATGATGACAAAGTATGCAATTATGCATAAAGTACATCATGTCTCTCGAGACTGCAAATATCTACAATGAAGGCATTCATTCTGTTCCAACAGAAGGCTGGATATCTTGTGTAATATTTCACCAATAAATACAATTCTTATGTATCAGTAAAGATTACAACAAGGATAACAAGGTTCACCATATCTACACATTATGTTTCCAAATTGCCATAGTATTATAATTTATTATTATAAACCCTAAATATTGTTTGATGATGATTAATCTTTATAATTATAAAAAGCAAATTCAGTTTGAACCATTCTATATCACTCCATCTCTAGAGCAAGATGGAATATTTGACAATTTTCTTAAATATTGAGCATTCAGGCCGAGACGCCACTACCGTAAAAACGGGCGTAAAACCCCTCGCCGTGAAAGCTTTTAATCACATGACCTATTTGCATTTGGATTGCAGTGGAGGTCCGGCTAACGTAGTTTTCACGGTGACGGTGATGCCCCAAGTGTTGAAAGTAAATACTTCTTCACACGTGAATTGGTGGAAACGGAAGATTGTTGTATACGTGATATATCGATATAAAGACAATGATTATATTCTACAATTTTTTTTTGTACTATAATTACAAATGTAGTAAAAATATCTTTACTTTCATATATTAACTTTTATTATCGTATTATTAATTAAGATAATATACAGCACTTATAAGTTTAGCTTTTTTTTATCATATACTCCTCTAAATCGAAGGATTTTCCTTTGGCATTCATTATTTAACCAGGTTACCTCTTGTCGTAGATATACGAATACTTTTGGATGTTTTCGATAAATCTTTCCAGATCTATTCTATGAGGGAACATAGAATAGATCTATATAGCCATGAGGGAACATACACAAAAGTTCATTTTCTGCCATTTTCACACCGTGTCACAATGGCCTAAATTTCACTGACTTCTGATTGGTGGAAGGTACTGTTTTATGGATGTATTCGCTTCAAAAGTTGAACACCACTCAACTCACTTTTACGCTGGTTTTACGACCTGCTCGGGTGTAAAATATCAGGGTCATGTGCTTAAAAACTTTTACGGCGAGGGGTTTTACACCGTTTTTACGCTAGTGGAGTTGCGGCCTCAACGACAAAGTTTCTCCCAGATTTAAAAAGTTAATTATAAAAACTAAAAATTCCTTAAAATCTGTCTTGCCCCATCTTCTACATATATTTTGGAGCTACATAAAGCTTCCATTTGTCATTTATATTCATAATTCACATTCAAAAAGAAATTCTTAGATTTAATGGCAAAAGTTTAATGAATATAAATAGGATGGCAAATGCAATGGTAGCTTCATGTGGATTTTCTTGCACTTAACATTAAAAATGATTATTATAACATCATCATTTCAAAGATTACAAACAAGATCATTTTGATCCTTTCAGAATGGACCAGAATAATTTTAATAAGTTAATAAATCAAATGAAAATACCTGGAGACAGCAGTGCCTGCAGACTATCAAAAAGGGGGCACTGTACATTATACAAGAAGCTCTATGATTCAATGTTGGATCAGCACTCCCACAAGGTAGAACTGTTTGTACTCGGGGCTAACTTGGCCTTGACTAAAACCCCATTTCTTGTTTTCAACATATGATGAAGTTGCATGGTTGCAGTTAATGGACAGATCATTCCTTAGTTTCTTTAATATTTGCAGAATAGGCTAAAGTCACAAATTTTCTGTTGTTGGGACCCCATTGGGAAAGGAAAAGGGCAACCGAGATGAAAAGAGAGGGCACATGTCCCAATGTACTGTACAGGTACCCCATCTGGAGATGTGTGGGTTGCAAACTGAGGAAACCAAAAAAGAATGATTCAAATTCAAAAGTAAAGATTTTGGTACACTTGCCATAACTAGTAAAGTTTTGTCTGCAACTTTACTAGTCATGGCAAGTGTACCAAAATCTTTTGAATGAAAATAAGTTTCATGGACTTGGCTAGAGATAAATAAGTTAATTCCATTCCAGCTGCACTGCACAGCATGCAAAACAATGATTTACTAGAGGTTACTTATAACATTTTAGAATACATTGTTACTGACTTTGATGGACTTCAGGTAGTGAATGCATATTGACTCAAAGCAAATAGTTAAAATCTTTGTTGTTTTAATTTATTATAGTGAGCTAACCTGAAAATGAAAATGGATGTTAATTTGCTACATATCATTGTATATACATATACATTTTGTATATAATGCAATACACCAACTGCACTATATAGTCTGTTAATTAATTATATCCACACTTTATTTTTTTGAATTTAATGAAAACTATAAAGAATTTTTAAATGTAATTTAAAGCAACTTATTGTTAGTATTGAACAATTGCAAATACTTATATATTTTTGGGACATGCTATATCAACAACATTTTACTGCTTTTTAGAATTGTTAGGAATTTAAGAGAAATATAAATGATTTCATTTGTATAAGCAAATTACTTTACACTGATTTTCGATAATTTCAAAATTAATCATTTTATTAATAATTTAGCAACAAAAATATATTTTTTGGCTGTCTCAAAGTATAGCAGAAAATAAAACAGAATTGCAAAATTTGAAGCATTTGAAACTTAAAATTATAAAAATAAATGACATCACAAAACACTTTTACTTTGTTGTCAAGTAGTAATTTAAATACTGAAACAAAACTTTCCAAAATTTCACATGGAAGAGGATTTGGTATGGAAGAAATTGCATGAATACAAAAATTAAAAGCAGAAGGCTATAGTGTCAAGAAAATTGCTGTCTTAATGAACAATCTACTCCTGGAATTTATAAAATTTTGGAAAAATCACCAATACCATCTAAACATCAATCAGAAGGCCCAAAATCATATCTCAAAGGGATGATAATTGAATTGTGTCTTGCATCACAACAGAATAAATCAGTTTGTCAAATTTTGTGTGAAAGTGAATTAAAAATATCAAAAAGCACTGTTCGTCAAAGAATTTTAGCAGCTCCACATATGAAATTTGATGCCTTGATGAAAAAACCATCACTAACAAAACGACACAAATTGGCAAGAATGCAGTGGGCTAAAAGTCATATGCTGTGGAATGACCAATAGCTCTGAGTCCTTTTCAGTAATGAAAAGAAATTAATTTCTATGGCCTAATTACTATGCAAACACAGTATTTAATCTTATAGAAGCTAAAAATGGTCCACTATGTAATAATATACCTTTAAAATATAAAAATTTGGTGTGGTTATATTTAATTGACACAAAAAGATCAAGAATGTACATAATTTGTGATAATGTTAAAAACAAACAACATCACTAAACCTGATATACTATAAACTTAGACACTAACCAATGCCAAATTCTCTAGCCTGATAGAATTTGGCATTGGGTGGTGTCTAGATAATGTTAAAAGTTGTTAAATTCTGTTTTTAGTATAAGTAAGTTATGCTGAAAGTTTCATTAAATTCTTTATAGTTTTCTTTAAATTCAAAAAAATATACATTTTGTTAATTTTAACCACAATTCATGTTATTATATGTTATTGTTCATGTTATTAATTACATGATATAGATCTGTACTTGACCTGAACGAAGCTTGATTTGATAACAAGTAGAGATTGCACAATATTTTTTTCTCCACTGTCAATGGATATTGTCCTCTTGAATTGTTCTTCTTATTAATGGTGCTAGTTTTGAGATTAAAATGTCAACAGTTGTTCTATTAAATCTAAAATTCTCCTGAAAGTCCTTCCATCGGTATCTTGGCATGGTGTACTCCACATAACCTTTCATTTTTTTCGACTGTCTTGCTGTGCTTGCCACTAGATACATCCATTTCAGCTTACATTGCACATTCTAACAACAAATCATTGTCTTTCAAACTCTGAATCAGTGACTGCAGTTATGAAATTATAGCTAAAGTCGCTGACACTAATCTGGAAGCTGCCATTACTGTGTATACTTTTACTAGCATGCTAATATGAAGTCAGGCTGTGCTAGGTGTCAGATCGACAAGTTTGGAAAGTAGCAAAAAGTAAATGCACCCAATAATTTGATAAGATGATGAAGCAGACCCATTTTCACACCATCTATGAAGAAACTAATAACCTCATCTTGCGGCCCCTTGAAGTATAACATTTCCAGTTTAATGATACTTTTGTAGACTATGTATTTTTCAAGTTATTCCATTGGATTATTTAAATGGTCCATCCTGTATATGAAATTAATCACATTCAAACAAAATTTTATACTTAAATTATCTTCTTTTGCAATATATTTGCTTTAGCTTGCTGGTTAATGTATTATTAATCTCAAAAAAGAAAATTCTTACAGTTTGTCTCTCAATGCAAACTTGTGAAGCCAGTGGGGAGAGAGTACAAGACCTGCATGTCACCATGGATCCTTTTGTTATAAAATTACACAGAACATTAATACTTAAGGCTTGGGTTTAGTTAATGTGTAATGACAATCCCAAAATCTCAAGATTCAGGATTCTGGGATTGCAATCTTAAATTATGACTCTTCTTACATTCAATAGTAATACAATATTAATTTCTAACAAGCATAATAGAATGACTAACAAATCTTTAAAAATCTGACAAAATATAATATCTGTGCCAGAGCATAATTTGAACTCAATGACTTACTAATTAGCTATTTCTCTTCATCCTCCTCCAACATTATTAGTCCCACTGTCACTGCTTTCTTTCTGATTTAGCTTTGTTTTATGGCTGGATGCTTTTTTCTTCTTGGTTGATTCCTTGTCTGGATCAAAAGAGGAAAAGTTAGTAAACTTCTTATTTTGATCCAAACATGGAACCTGCTAGAATCACTAGACTTTCAAATTCTAACTGGTTTCTATTACATCTTAATTCTTCTACAATTTATTAATTTCAAATGCTGATGTTTTCGGACATATTTAATCAAGGATGAGGAGTCAGACGAAAAATACACGACTCTTGACTCCTTTCACTAATGCACTACAAGTAAGTTAATAGTTTATTAATATGTAAATTTTCAACTACAAATTCGTATCTTCTATTATCAGGACTTATTATACTGGTTTTACAGATAATATTACAAAGATTAACAGAAAACAATTTTTATTTTATTTCATATACCTGGACACATACACAATTTTGCGTTTCGGACATATTCGTCCCTCCTCAGCAGGTATTTATATATGTTCTATAAACAATAAAAAATTTTTATTAAAATTTCCATTTTAAAATTTTTCCGACAAAAATATTCAATAAAATTCTTACAATTTTCCAGTTTTCCTTTATTTTTTGCTCCACTGGATATTCAAGTTTTATCAACAAGATCACAATACTATTATTTTAAACCGGTATTAAACCAAATTCTATTAACATTATCTCAATTTTATACATTTTTTTTCTGTTATTACAACTTACATTTGTTCTCTTTCTGTCTGCCTCACACCTCTTTTCCATTTCTTTCCATCTTTCTTTTTATCTTTTGGACACACCCCTCTTTCTATGAAACTTAGCCATGATTGGTGGATTTCTCTACCATTATTGCTGTTTATTCTATTATTTTGTCTGATTATATAAATATGTTCATAAAGTTGTCTTTTGTAATTATTCTTTTCTTTTTTCTTTATTTTTACGGAATTCAATACTATTTCACAACCTGTATTATTACAATGCTCTGCGACTACTGAATTAGCATAATTTCTCTTGATTGCTCAGATGTGTTCATTTATTCTTATTTTTAGTTTCCTTTTCGTTTCTCCTATATATATTTTTTCTGGTTTACAACTACAATTAAATGAATATACAACTCCTTTTTCTTCTAATATATCGTAATTTCCATGATTTCTATAACATAAATGGTTTTTTGTTGTATTTACTTTTTCCGGTATTAGATTGATTCTACTATTTAATATTTTTTTTAATTCTTTCAAATATCTTAGGGATATACCTTATTTTAACAAAACTTTTCTCTTTATCTATTAAACTTGATTGTTTATCTATTTCCAATTTTTTTATCCATTTATTCAATAGACTTTTTGGATAATCATTTAACATAAACATTTTTATTATTTCTTCTTCTTCTTTCTCTTGAGTATAAAACCAGTATAATAACTCCTGATAATAGAAGATACGAATTTATAGTCGATAATTTACATATTAATAAGAGAAAAGGACATTGAGGCAATTTAATTAAAGTTAATAGTTTGTTTAATAGAAAGTTGGCTGTAATAAGCTTTTGATAAAAATAGTACTTTAAAATATGAGTTTACTTCTATGGTACACCAATATCTTATAATATTACTGAAATTTTTACTGTCTGTTGACATTAAATAGGCTTTTAATATAAAATTAAGAACAAGCACTTTAGACAAATACAAAATTGTCTTTTTCAGGCAACAAACCAAAGAATTTGAATATGTAACAGTATTCTAATAGAATGATTAAGAGCTATGAGCTATTACATAACAAAACATAATGATATTAATACCGAGGTAAAAAATTTAACACTAAACAGATTGAATGAAATTTAATTAAGAAAAATTTGTTCTGAAAATGAAGACTAATCTCCATCATGTCCTCTTTCAAGTTAGCATGCAAGTGCGATTTGATTAAATGCTTAGCTGAAAATAATTGTTCAACATTGACTTGGGTAGGAGGCAGTGCAGTAACAACATGAGCTGCATTTTGTATTATTTAAAAAGTCAAAAATAACAGCATTAACAGCTTTTAAAAATTAAAAGAATTTTTTAATGTCAAAGTAACATAAGGAATAGTCAATAAGTTTTCCAACTACCACTCTACATCCCTGTAGTTAATGCTCACCCTTAAACATATGACACCAGAGTTGTGTGCATAATAATACAATTGACTCAAGTCTGAACAACCAGAGAAAATATTAGCTTTAAAAATATAATTATTTATGAAAAGCTTACTTACCAATAAAAATTTTAAATCGTTTTGCAACCTTTGTAAATTGTGAAATCCGGAATTTTTGCATATTATTTTTCGATTACAGTCCTTTAAACCTAAACTAAAACCTAACTTAAAAAAGGGAAAAATTCCAATCTCCCCTTTCGTTCAAAGTAAACATCCGTCCACTTCGAAAATAATCCCACATTCCAACTCCAAAGTTGATAGTTAGCATGGTCCCGGGGACAACTTTGACCCATTTACCTTTTACTTCACAACAATTAATCACGTGACCATTCCCCCACGACGAAACCATAAAAGCCCCTTGCTTCCCCTGTCGGAGGAGTCATTCATCAACCGGCAAAGTGCCTGTCCTCCAAGATATTATCTAATTTTGTGTCCTAATCCTACCAATTCGGAACCCTTTGGATATTATATTTTTTTTTTTCCTCAAGGATATTTAAATACAGAAAGAGGTATGGAACAAATTTTTGTGAATTCTCTCTCGGCCCTTTGTGTTTTAGGGACTCAGAATTTTCCCTCGATAATAGTTATTGTATCGTCTATGGATGTAGCTAATAAATCATTGTTTCCTTGTTAAATTGGTGTCCTCTTTTTACTCGTATATCGCCTGTCACCTTACCGACGGCACTCCTCCCTCCTCCACTCGACCTGAAACATTAAATTCCGTTACAGCGGGGTAAATAAAAGGAAAAATTTTTAAGCCATCTTGACAATGAGAAAGTTTAACAACCTGTTGCCGGATCAGGAGACTTCCAACCTCCCTGGCGGTTCACAAAATTCTTACAAGATTAGTGTTAAAACAATTTCGTAAGATAGTACACAGTGCATTAAAAGATACAAAAAATTATATTCAAACAAATGATTGATCTTTGCAAACAAAAATTTTCAAGTTAGAAGGAATATTGTCTCTTGTTTATTTATCTTTGTGCAGATATACATTTTTCTCTTGATAGAAACAATATAATAAAGAACTGTCTATATACATAAAAAATAATATAGTCTGCAATTTATAATTTTACAACAATCAAACATATAATTAAATTAGCCAAAACACTTCACTCGAATGACTTAAATAATTTATCCATGAACACGTCAAACATTCACATCACTTTGATAACAATGCTGATATTTTTAAAACACTAACGTGAATGTTAAACGAATTTGCCCGGTATATGAAATTTAAAGAAGACAGGCTTGGCTTCCTTACAATCTAACTCTCAAACTAGTTTAAAATGTAACAGATGGAGGGACTTTTGTTAATTACATTTTTTGGTGTTTATGCATTTGTAGTACCGACATTAAATATTCATACTGACATGTTCGTAAAAACAATAGGCCTTCTTTGTTTCGAGCAATGTACTTACATTTTATATCAATGGCAACTCATATCTTCTCATTCTTCTGCTTTATAATATTTAATTCCTCAAATGTAAACGACAAAGTCATAATAATGTTTATAGTAATTCCTGTGAATAATTCTTTCAAAGTGAAGATATATCCGTGAAATCTTACATGCTTCATAAAAATATTCTTTATAGTTGCAGAATGACTTGACACAATTTTATTGACTTTGGATGTATGCTTAATACTATCATCAATTAGTAAAATTGTGAGGGGTTAAGGATGCTATTTATCAATAGTCTATTTGCATATGACTTCTGTAGTTAAAGTGACTGGAATAATGACAAAACTGGTAGTTCTTCAGACTGGACGATCATAATAATTTGATACAGAACTACTGATAAATGACATCAATAATTATTCCTGCAAGTTTACCAATTGATAACAGTTTAGGAGCACAAACCTTTATCATTAAAAAGTCACTTTTTAAGTTCAATTAAAATATAACCTGGGAAGTAGACTTTGAACTATCCTTAGTATCTAGTCTCTTGTATCCATTTGGTCGTCTTCTGCGTTCATGACGTCCCTCAATGATAAGTGCAATGATCTGAAATTAGATATAAGCTATATTCTTCATTTGGCTAGATAAAAAAAATTCATAAAGTAATGTGACTAACCTTTTGTTTATTGTGAAAGACTAGATATCCGGCAATGCACAGCACTATAATTGTTAGGAAATATGCAAAAAAATGACTGTCTTCTTCTTCAGGAAATACAGATCCCATTCCATTACCTTTACCAATGGTTATTTCAAGTTTCTTGTCACTCTCTGTCTTGTCTTCTGGTTTTTCCTTGCTGACAGTGGGTGGCAATTCCTCTTCTGAATAGTCTGATGGCAAAATTTCCAAGATATTTATTTAATAAAATTAGTAAAACAAGAAATTAAAATAATGGTAATATGGCCAAATTAAACAGAAAGAAGATAGTTAATCATAAGCAGAGGATATAAAATTGGCATTCTTTTACAATGTAAACAAATGGAAGATATTAAAAGAAATTTGTTAAAAATACAAAAGATGTTATGCACTACATATATATGCATTTTTATCATGCAATCTAGCTACATGTGCACGAACCTCATGCACTATTCTCATACCTACCATTAGATGGATCTGGAAACTCGTCACTGAATTCATTAGGTTGATTTCCAAATTCTGCTAAAGAGTAAAAGACTTTTCTATGTAAATAAAACATCTTATTCTTTGTTATAATAAAAAAATATACAGAGTGAGATGCTTAAAGAGGAATATTTAATAATTTATTGAAAATTTAACTTAGTAGCTATTTTTGAGATAAGAAACAACATTGTAATGTTGTTTCTTGTCCTCGCCTGTGTTGCTGCAAGTGACATTGCCAACCAAGTAGCCTGTAGCAAGATATCATCTTACATTTACAAACAATGTGCTTCTATATATTATAAACTGTTATAGTACAGCTTGTGACAGATTAGTCACAAAATGGCTACCCTTGTTTCTTCCAATTGCATAAATCAAAACATATTCAGGCTTAAATTTAGTCACAATATCTTATAAGAAACAGAAATACTTGTTTGATTTAATTCTGTAATATATTAAAATCCTTCTATTTAAATATCTCATCCTGTATATTATATAGAAATTTCAATGCCAAAAATTCTATAACATTATTATCCTTTCCTTTTCTAGTTTTACTATCATTCTAGTTTCCTTTTCTAGTTTTACTATCATTAAACTGCCTGTCATTTCTAACAATGAAAGAACAATAAAAAATGACTAATAAATTCTACAAATTTTGGAATCTTCCAAACTGTTGTTGCGATAGCAACAGAAAATATATTCAAAGTTTAATTTGGGTAGTTTATTTTATAATTAAAATAAACATTTCTTTAGTGAGCAACAACCAAAAAGTGCAGATACTGATTAGTTTATAATGATAAATAATATCTAATTAAAAGCAAGAATAAAGATCAAATTTTTGGTAAAAGAACTTTTGAAAGAATGATTAAAATATAACAAACTTCCTAAACAAAATACAGAAATGGTTCTAACACAAAACTTCCTTTCTTCTTCAATATAGAAAAAATAAAGAAAAATTTTATTTTTCATAATTATAAAAACTATTTAATGATTAAAAATACATAAATAATTCATTTATTTTGATCAAAAATATGTTTTTCTATGAAAATTAAATAAATAAAATAAAAAAAAAATTAATAATTTTATATTTTTTGTAATGTAATTTATAACCCAATTGAAAATAAATTATAAATTTTTTTTGTTTTTACTATATTATACCCATTTATAAAAAATGGGCAAGCTTTAGCTAGTAATTTCAATAAATATTTTAAATATCAAAATGTTTTATTTATATTTTATTTTTACGTTATCATTCACCATTCACGACATTAAAGTTAAATTTGTAATTTTGCTATTATATAGTTGTGTAGAGTTATTCACTTGGGGGTTCATGATATGGCCAGGTTTTTGTTATGAGAAGGGGTCTGTGGGTATAAGTTTGGGAACCATCGCTATAAATGGACTTATCAAACTGGACAGCCACAGGACAGAATGACCTCAAGACACAATTTTCTTCTATGTATTTATTTTGATATGCATTTAAGTCCTAACAGGGTCCTCTTCAGTCATGACACATAGATCTCTTTGCAGATTTCTAGGTATATGCACATACATTATTAGTTTTATAATAAAAACTTCTCAACATATGTACTTGTATGCAACAGAATCCTCTAAAAGGATACATTTTATCCTAGACACACAAATTTGGAAAGAAAATTCTGTACTATTCTATGCAAAATTATGGAATCTAATGAATCCATACTGCATCACTATTTTACACACTGGAAATTTACAAGCTACCTCTCACACATCTGCATTTACTTTTCCTTTGAGTGTGTTTCACTCTGGCTCAAATATGTGTTAGGTAGTGAAAAATAAACAAATTATCTGTTAGGACCTTCCCAAGACTCATGTATCTGTAGGCCTGTACTTTTGTTTATTCTTTTATTATTATCTACTTTTATAATTTCTAAATGTTCAAATGAGTTATTTTTATATAATAATTTACTAAGATTATCTTGTAAATTACTGTATAAAAATAGTTTAAATTCTACTCTCTTTATAATAAACCATATAAAATCTAATTTCTGATGTTTGTACAATACAGATATCATAATTAAAACCTTCTTCATTATGGTAATTACATATAAGCAGCAATAAAAGTTAATGTAACTCACGTTTTTCATTTTTTTCAGGCTCCTGATTGGGACTATTTTCAGATTCTGAAGGATTGTCTTTGATGGGATTTGGTAGATCTTTAGATTCATCCTTTGGCAATGTCTTATGATTCATTTCATCTGTAACTTTCTTATCGACACCATCAATATTTTCATCAGTATTCTCTGAGCTTGCATCATTAGTATTGGCAGTGTTAATGGGAGTTTGCTCTGATTTAGATTCCTCATTCTTGTTTGTGTTAGGTATATTATCATCGTTCATCTGCTGGTTGATGGTTGACTTTTTTCCTGTGTCATCATTGTTTTTGGCTGTGGGCAACTTTTCTGTCTCACTTGTAGGTGATATCATATGCTTATCTGGAGAAGCTTCATTATTTGCACTACTTTTTGGCAAGTCTTGACTAGCAGTAGATGGTTTTTGATTCCTTGTTTCGTCATCTTTGTTGGGTTTATCTTTTTCAGGTCCACTCCCTGCAGCTCTATTATCTACACTTTCAGTAGTTGCAACCATCTTATGAATTTGTTTACTTGGTTTCATACTTTGATTTGAAGCTGTCATTATATTAGGTGATGATGGTCTTTTAGCTGAAAGTTTAATATGATTTTTTTATGAATACATTTAATAAATAATAACAACTACACATAACACCAAAAAAATTTATATACTAAAACAAAAAACAAATGTTATAAATGAATGCATATTCTATCACATTCATTTATATCTACATTCTTCTAACTTGAAGATGACCATTTAAAATGAAAGAAAACATTTGTTTTTGGTTTTAACATATAAATTTTTTGCTGTTTTATTGGTGTTTATGTATATTTGTTATTATTTATCTGTATTACACCATAGTATCATAGATATTGTATTAACACATTTAATATTAATTAATTCAATTATCTTTTAAAGATAAACTGTGAACTTACAATCATCACTGTTTTGAGTTGGTGAGTATTTCAGCAGATTGTTCGATTGATCAATTTCTAAAGTAAAAAAAAGAAGAAAATAAAATATATATTTTTTTCTTTAAATTCAAATTTATTAAAAATAGAAAAACAACAGTGATTTAAATTACAAAGATAATATGTGCAATTCAGCATGTGGCCAGACCTGTACCAGAAAAAAGATGTTTTCATATTGAACAATAATGCTCTGATGCACTTGGCTTGAATTGTCATCTAATTATTGGCTTGTAGACAAGTCATAGCACTTACCCATTCTCTCTATTTACCAGATCTGGCCCCTAAAGACTATTCTGTTCTCAAAGATAAAAAGTTTGCTTAAAGGGATGTTGGTACGATTTAAAAAACATTCAGCAAGTGTGACAAGGAAACCAAACAGCATCACAGAAAACCACTGAACTATTTACAGGAAGTCAATGAGATGGCTTCAGAACCTGTTAAATTCATATAATGGTCCTTTCCATACTAACATAGACTTGTCTTTGAAATGTCCTGTATTGTAATTACAAATTAAAGTTGACTTCATTGCATGGCTAATCGTTACCAACAATTTGTGGACTTAAAACACTAGTCTTGGATTTAAATCTAATTGTACCATTCCAGTTCTTAGGTATTCCTTAATTTTATTGTTAGATATTTACATTATTATGTTAGTTTTGAATATACAGGTATACCTCGCCTTACGTTGGTAATTGGTTCCAGGAGATGCAATTTAAGTCGAAAAATGGTGTAAGTTGAATTTACATGTCTTGAATTTACTCGTCACTAGACTAAACCACAAATAACCATTCCCAGCTCTGTATTTTATTTATAAATGTATTTTTAATAATATGTGGTTAATAAGAATGTATTTTAAGCTTACAAACAAATAAATTTTAGTTTTTAATATAGTACAGAAAAAAGTAATCTAAATTTATGAATTCATGTACGTACAGTACATACTTGTAAATGTACATGTTTACAGTACATCGCAGACTCTGTATTTGTGAATGTGGTTTGCTCTAAGACATTATAAAATAAGATGATTTTGTAAGGTTAAATAACAAATACAGTTATTAAAATTATCTTGTGACAATAGAAAATAAACTAATTTATATTAAATCTACCAATATCGAGTGGCGCTGACAACGATGCCAAATGGTAGATATTGGAGCTACTGTGGAAATCACCAATATTGAGCACTTAAAGACTGCTAAATAAGACGACAACACAGAAACACAGATGTTTTCATGTTTCGTTCTCTAGGATTTATGATTATATTACAAACATTTACTGTAAATGTACATATTTTATATGATTTTATGTGCTTTAATGCTTTTATAGTGATATTACGACTCCAATATTTGTGGCGGATGGATGTAAAGTCAAATAAAATGACAAACTTGATTTTTATTTTTCCATATATTCTTTGACAAACGATGTATAATCGAAAACGATGTAACTCGAGGTATACCTGTATCAGAAAAAACACAAGTTTGTTATATTCAATTTAAATCATTAAAATAGTGAAAGAAAGCCACATAAATACAAAAATTGAGAGCACACTTGATGACAATTTCACGTGTAACACAATAAATAACCATCTTTTGTCATTAAAACTCTTTCCTATTAACACAAAATATATAAAAGCAAGCACTTTTGACCATGCATTACAATCTTCCTCAGGCAAATTATTTAGACAAGAAAAAACAATTTAAACATAAGGCAAGAAAAAACAATTTAAAATTTTTAATGTGCATAATTTTTAACCTTCTTTTTTTCAATTCTATAACAGACCAAAGCAAAGGAACACAAATTGATGTTAAAATTTTAAAATAAGTTTTAAAACTATGAATTTGAAACTATAGTGCCCAACATATAACTAAAAATTAAGTTTTTGGAAATTTGAAAAGCAATGCTTAAAGTTCTGGGAAGCTGAGGATTGTTTTATTACATAGTTGATATGTATGAGGATACTCAGATAAATATGGTTCTCCAGTCCATGTACCAGACACAGTAATGAGGTTTACGACCACAGGGAATCATAATTACATTCTAACATCCTCTTGGTAAGCTTGGTAGAGAAACTATTATTCAAAATGTCATTTTGGTGATCAGCCATACAGTTAAGCTTCCTGTGACTTCTATGTAATACAGTAGAGCATCGATTATCCAACTCAATTAGGGACTCAGGTTGGTCGGATAACTGAAAAAATCGAATAATCGAAAAGAAGGAAAAAATACATTATTAGTATAGTATATTAACATATTAGTATATTCCACGTAATTAGTATATTAGTATATCGCTATTAACATACTTCACCTTGAATTTTCATCGATGTTAAGCCTAACAAATTTTTTTAAAAATAATAATCGTAGCTATTGTATCGTTAAAAAATATTTTAAAATTATTTTATTGCTCAAAAAACAAACCACCACTCATAATTAGAAAATTAAATCTCGTTTAAATACCGGCCTTCCTTTTATGGTTGAGCCAGTGTTGTCAGCTAAAACACGCAAAAATTTAACAAAAACGATATTAAAATAGCCAAGACATAGCCAAATATTTAGTGCCACATCACTAGCAGACACTTGAAATTTGCCAACTAGAACAGTCGGTTAACTGATGTGACGGTTAATCAGGGGTTGGATAATCGATGCTCTACTGTAGTTTCAAACTCATCTGTAAATGTTGTATTGATATTATATAAATACCAGACCTATCTAAATATGAAAACACATCCTTATCATTAGAAAAGATTCTGTGCAAGGATAACTATGGTTTGACATGTAGGGTGAAACTGTATTTTTGAAAATATGAACAATCGGTGCCAGATTAAGCTTATGGCAGTTCCATTTAAATGTGGTCCATGTACTTACTGTGACCAGTAAGTACATGGTCTGGAGAATCACGTAATCACATTTATCTGGGAATCCTTATACATATCAACTATGGACTTCTGTAATGGTTCTAGGACAATAATCCTCCTGGATAACAACCCCCGACAATAATCTCCTGGAGAAAAATCCCCTCCAGACAATAACCCCATGTAAAAACCCACCTGGATATTATTAAATCCCCTATAAAAACCTGTAAAGAATAAACCCCAATTTTATGTCAGTAGATTAAATCAAATATATACTATCACCTGAATTTACACTCTTAATTCGATAAAAACTTCTTTTCTTGTAAAAAAAAAACCTTTATTGGTTAATTATTTTTAATTTTTTTTTTTTTAAATTTTGAGAGTTTGGCAATAGCCAGTTAATGTAATACTTAATGCACTGGCTATGAATGTTTTAGGACTAGCAAATCTTTAGGTAAAGCACTAAACCATTTAGAGCAGTGTTTCTCAACCTCTAACGAATCGTTGCCCCTTCACTTCAAAATTCCGATGCCGAGGGCCAAGGCTAACGCCAAATTCGTACTTTATTGAATAGACTAGTGACTAGTATAATGTTGTTTGTTTAATTATTGTACGTTATAACGAATAAAATATCTAATTATTCTTAATATAGTGTTTTACTATATCGCCCAGAAAATTGTTTTTCGCCCCCAAATATAAGTTGTTACTAATCGCCCCTCAACAGAGAAAAACGCCCACATGGGGGCGATATCGCCCCCGTTGAGAAACACTGATTTAGAGCATCATCTTGCTTACTCTTTTATCTGACTCACAACAGGATTGAGACAAGAAACAAAAAAAAATCTAAAGTGAAATGTGTTAAAATACACCTTAGTTATTTTACAAACTCCAAAGACCAATATGAACCACTATGGCATATACAGGATGTTTCATTTAACTCGAGACTAAATTTCTCAAGAAATACACATCATACAAAAAAAGTGTGAAATAAACCATCAGTATTTTGGAGGGAGACAGTTCAACTCCGCAAAAGTTTTTCCTGCCACTGCCCCTTGGGCGCTAGGCAGAACAACTAATTTTCACTGATTACAACACCATCTACCAGAATATAAAAAAATGTTTCGAATAAACCCTACATAATTTTTGATGTAGAATCTAAATCTGCTATGAAAAATGTGGTTTCCATTTGAATTTACAAAGTTTCCCCTACCTCAGCCCCCAGAGGTGGTGACAGGGACTAACTTTTGTGGGGATGAACTGCCCACTCTAAAATACTGCAGGTTTATTTCAAACAGTTTTTTGTACAATCCGTATTTCTCGAGATATTTCACAGTCTCAAGTTAAATGAAACACCTGTATATTTATTATTAATCAAGATTATGCAAAACAGTCATGGAGTTTACAATCCAAGCAAGTTGAAGCTTTCTTTCATGCTCTGTGGATATAGCATACAAGTAAATGTCACTGTACAATATATAGTCACACAAAATTGTGGACAACAGAAACCGACTTATCCAGGGAGACGTGGAATATCTATCAACAATTTGAATATAATTACTAAAAACAAATAATTCAGTGGAAGGATGGTACAGATGTTTTCAGTCCAATGCTGGAAGTTTCTATCCCATTATTTGGAAATTCATTGCTTCTCTTCAAAGAGAACAAGCATTATACAAGTTTACTCCAATCAAATTCTGACCGGTCATCCTTCACAAGCTCTGAGAAAGAAATATGCTGATTCAAATGCACTGATTCTTACCATTATTTGAGCTATTATAATCACAGTGATATGAACTTTATACATGGATAGCAAACAGGTTGTAAACTGAAAAGTATTTAAGCATTTAAATAAAACATTTTATTTTGGTCATCAAAAAAGCAGCAAACTGTAAATATTAAGAATGTTGGAGAAATGAATTTGGCTGAAATTTGAAAGCTTTAGTTCAGTAGCTCCCCTACTTACAAATGTTCAACTTACAAACAATTTGACTGTATGTCTAAAACTTAAATTTCACACATATTCTGAAGTTCTGCCAGTCATGGGGTGGTATTGAAGTCAGTCTTTGGCCAGTAATAAATAATTAATGTGGATTTATTTTTATCACATATCATTTTTCATTTTTGCATGAATTCTGACATTTGACTACCACTGGTAAGGTGGCATCAAAGTTAGTA